AGCTGGAGCAGATCGGGGGGCAGCTCTGCGCCTCCCTGCTCCACTCCCACGACACCGAAACCCGCGCCACCATGACCATGGCGTTGGCCGACGACATCATCGCCGCGGGGCAGGACGCCAGCTGCCACATCCTGCGCTTCAGCCTGCAGGCGCCCGAGGCCAAGAGCGGCTCAGCCGGCTGCGACGGTGAGACCCCGCTCTCCCCCGGGGTGCTTCGGGGACGGGGCAGCGCTCCGGGGGCCTCCCGCCTGCCCCGGGCCCCCCGGCGGCGCGGAGCCGTGTCACGGCGCCGTGTCCCTCTGCCCCGCCGCAGGCAGCGGGGAGAAGGGGCCGCGGAAGCGGAAGGGCCCCAGCCCGGCGGGGCAGGGCGACACGCAGAGCCAGACGAGCGAGGTGACGGTGGAGAGCCTGCACAGTGTCCGCACGGATTTCAGCCCCGACGCCCTGCAGAAGGCTGTCCGCTTCAACGCTGACTGCTCTCTGCTCGTCACCGGCGGGGGCGACGGCTTCCTCCGCCTCTGGGAGGTAGGCACGGGGGGAGCTGAGGCCGGGCGTCGCTCTGCCGGCAGCAGCGTGCGTCCGGTGGGGAAGGCCAGGCCCCGGTGGTGCCAGATCAGCAGCGCTTGCGGTTCTGTAACGCTGCGTCTTCCTGATGCCTTCCCCAAGCGACCCCGGGTGCTGCGCCCGGCGGGGCCCTGGGGCTGCCGCGGGGCGAGGCTCCGACGCCTGCTCTCCCCTTGCAGTTCCCCAGCATGAAGAAGACACTGGAGTTCAAAGCCCACGACGGGGAGATCGAAGATATCGCACTGGGCCCCGACAACAAGGTGAGCGTCGGGTGGCTCCCCGGCCCCGCGGGGAGAGCTGTCCTCGGACACCCGCGCTCTCTGTGCGCAGGTGGTGACAGCGGGACGGGACTTCCAGTGCTGCGTGTGGCAGCAGGACCAGCTGGTGACGGGGCTGCACTGGAACGAGAACCTGCCCGGCATCCCCGACAAGGCTTACCGCTACCAGGCCTGCCGGTGAGGGCAGGGGCTGGGGCACGCGGGCAGGGGGCCGGGAACGGACCACCCCCACGGACTGAACCTGTGAACGCTAGTACGGGGCGCGCCGAGCTTTATCCCAGCCCTTGGCGCGTCTGCGGGGAGGGGGCTCCCCCGGGCTGGGGGAAGGAGCGGCTCTGCGGTGTGCTTCAGCGGGGTGGGCTCTGGGTGCAGGTTCGGGCCCCGCCGAGCCCCTCTCGCAGCACCGGGGGAAGGGGGGGCGGCGGTGCTGGCTGTAGGGGCCAATGCACCCCGTGCTCTCCCGGGGCAGGTTCGGGGCGGTGGAGGACAACGCCGGGGCGCTGCGGCTCTACACGGTGCAGGTGCCCCACAAGCGGGAGCGCCGCCCCCCGCCCTGCTACCTGACCAAGTGGGACGGGAAGAGCTTCCTGCCGCTGCTGACCCGGCCCTGCGGCAGCGAGGGCATCTCCTTCCTCTCCGGCAGGGACCCCCG